ATATATATATATATATATATATATATATATATATATATATATATATATATATATATATATATATATATATGTGTTCATGCATGTTGATTGTATCTAATTGGTCGATGTCCTTCATTTATGTGTGTTTCTATTGAGATCGGATAAACAATAAAAGAGAATCTTATCCAAAAATGATATGGACAATGGAACTCGGAACAACTAAGCCACGATGGTTGTCTCCATATCAACTACAGTGTGGTTTTATTAAATTAATATTTGTTTGCGATATTATTCTTGATAACATCTAATGAATTAGGAAGGAGAGTGTAATCGGAACCTAAGAAACTATTTGAAGGTCCCAACGATAAGGTTGTTGTCCTCTATTGATGAAACATTATCTAGTCATTTTGATAAGGTGCTTGTCCTCAATTAACTATTATCTTATTTTATTTTTGATAAAGTAAAATAAAATTATTTATTTTCACTTTTAAAACTATATTTTTTTAAATTTAAATATAATCGATAATACTATACTTTTACGTCTCTCTCTCTCTCTCTCTCTCTCTCTCTCTCTCTCGTTGAGCCACTGTTTAAAAGTTAATAGTTAAAAGTTACTAAATGGTGAGAAAAGGAGAACATTAGAACAAGCTCAAATGGAGCAAAAGAACAAGTAACCGAGTATATATATATATATATATAGAACGAAAAGCTACTAGGTGTTGGGCTGATAGCGTATGGTTAAGCTCATGATTGGCTTTAATAGCCCATAGGCCATCTCCCCTTTGATTAAATCCTAGATCTAATTAGGGAAGAATAGGGGCTGCGAAATTGAGACAGAAAAAAGGCAGCAGCAAGGGCGAAAATTACTACAGCAACTTGATTCAAAAAAGAGGAGAACGAGATAGTAAAACAAGATAAAGAAAGGGAAGAAAACAAGAACAACACAGTGAGACTATTCTCAATCATTCAACAGTGTTTTCATCTCAAGTTGGATCAGATCTATAATAAATTTTTACTATGATTACTTCGAAATAATTTAGATATTATGCACAGTGATATGATCCTTGTATCCTAATTATTCTCTTGTGATTATTGCTAGAGTTTAGGGCAAGAGATTGAGATTTGTATATTCATTATTCTCATAGTGGATTATCTCTAGTTTGCCTCATGGTTTTTATCCTTCACTTTGAAAGGGTTTTCTACGTAAATCTTGGTATCATATTTGATTGTGATTTTCATTTAATTCCGCTAAGCATACTAGTATTTGTTCATATACAAAAGTTTATTTCTTTTTATATCTCATCATCTGGTGTATTCTTGAAAACTCACAACCATTTATGTTGTGTTGCTAGCTGTTGGAAAACCTAATGACTTATTACCGAGAACTCGTTCTATCGTTCTACTCAACTGATGCCCGATCGTGTCCGCGTTTGGAAACTCTTCATCGACTGACGGACAACCATTAATAGGCATGAATGCCAACGACTAGAATTAATAAAGAATCAGAGACCTAAACGAAGATAAAAGAAAGAACAGTACTTACAAAGGAAAAAAAATGTCGAGGGTAGAAGACAGTGATGAAACAAATATTGCTCGTGTGGTGAGTGGAAAGAATCTTGATATGGTGTTTTTTCCCATCCCACAACAAGAACGAAAGTTGCTTACTTACTAAAGATGAGCATGATGATAGAGAACAAAAGTTGTTTACTTATTAAGTTACTATAGACTTCCTAATTTCATATTATGATTGATTATAATAATAAATTTATATTGACAAGATAATTTATAAAGATCAATATGGATTGTATTAAAAAAGACTGTTATGATATATAGAATGAAGTATAACACTAATAATACATAATTGTTATGACTCATGTGGATAATTAGCTTTAATATAGTATTATTATATTTATTGATATATTTTTATCAAATTTACGGTCACGTATAAAATATTTCATAAATTTTCATAATCCAATTGGATAAGATTATTTTCAACTAAAAATTATATTTTATTTATTTTGATATATAACATATATACTTTATATTTTATCAATTAATAGACCAAGTTGAAAAAAATTAAATTATGTGATCCTATTTAATTGATTAAAATATACTAAAGTTCTAATTGAATTTTGATTATTATTATTAGCTAATCAAAAAAAGTTCATTCGTATGATTTCTTAAGAGATAAACCTTATAGGCAGTTCATTCGTATGATTTCTTAAGAGATAAACCTTATAGGCTTGCGGGGGGGCACTTTGCCAATTGAATGACTTATAGAAAGTCAAATTGATAAACCTATATAATTCTCATCCTTAACCAATCAAGTCCTACTCTTAGTCCTTATAAAATCTTGATATTCACATGGTAGCTAAGAAGATCCATGTTGGAGGGATTCACGCCGATGATCAATACATAAAGGTTAAGAATAATTTATATTCCTCCTACTAAGCAAAATTCTATTTGCTCTGTGGCTTTTGTCGAGAAAAATTATCCTTTAGTAAAAAACGATAAGCTACATTGGTTATTGATTTTTTATAAATTTAAAATTATGCCAAAAAGGAATATTGAGCTCAGAGTTGTTGCTGGCTCACTAGTTTTGGTGTTACCATAGCATTAAATTTCTTCATAATCGGTCATCATCGATAAGAAGCAACGGACTTTATCATCATTACAAAGGAGATGATGCAATCATTATTCATCGTCGTAAAGGAGTAAAGGAGTTCGTCACCATCGTTCGTCCACAAAAAAGAGTGAGGAGAGAATAGGAGTATCAATTGCCATCTTCCATTGCTTTTTACCTCAAAGCCGACTTAACCTAGTTTAACTCGATCTACTCCGAAGAATCCAACCCAAATGGATTGGACTCGAGTCAAAATTCCGATTAGACCAAATCAACCATTGGATCGATTATGTTTGGCTTAGGTAGTTAGATTCAATAAAATAAATCGACCCAAGATCAAGTGTATTTTTGATTTTTTTTAAAAATATCTCTTAGTAAACATCAAATATGAGGGTGTCATATGATAATTTTTTTTTTTGAATACTTTTTTTTGATCAATTAATCATTAAAGTTTGATAATATTGGTGGTGACGAAAAGATCGATAATAATTATTATAGATACATTATAGGCATTGACAATAATAATACCATATATCAGAGATATCTTGATAACCAAATAAATGAAGAATCCAACATAAATTTATTTTTAAGCGATAAAGATTGTCATTTGTTATTTGAACAAGGCTTAGGATTTTGATTTTGTTTTAATGGTAGAAAAAGTTTTTATTCAATTAAATTTATCAATACTAATTTTATTTTGAAATATCAATACCAATTATCCAGGAGATATTGGTAGTGAAAAAACACATCTAGATATATTTTCTTTTTAGGATACAAACTAATTCTATGATCTTCTAGGAAACAACTGATTGTAGTATTATCAACAATAAAAATAGAATACATTGCAGTTGTAGCTGTAGTTCAAAAATTAACTAAATGAATTGATGTTTAATTTAGATGTATCAACCAAAATATTTTGTTATAACTCTTCAAGTCTTAAAATATCTAAGAACTCAACCAATCATGATAAAAAATAAATATATTTTTGTCAAATATTACTTTGTAAGATAATAAAATCATCAAGATGAAATACTACAAAAGTGAATTGGAGATTAAAATGACACGTATATCCACGTGGCCTTTGTAAAAAGATTTGGTTAAAAAGTCTCAAACAAAATTTAAATCGAATTGACTTAATGATTTAATTGTCAACCTAAATCGATAGGCAGAAAACTCCAGAGAGTTGACTTGTGCCTCCTCTTCCCTCATCTGCCCTTCTTTGGCTCCGTTAAGGTGCCGTATCCCCAAATTCTGGTAAAGTGGTTCGGACCCACCCTCGGACGGAGTAGACGTAGATTTGACGGTGAACCGACGGCTAGGAGGCAATCACGGGCCATCCCAAGCTCTGGCCACGGGGGAAACAAACCACGTGCCGCCGCCCCCGGATTCTCTCGTAAGTCGTAACACACACCATGCCCAAGTATATTGACCAAAACACCCCGCCCATTGCCACTTCGTCGGAGGGCATTATCGTCATCACGGACTCGATCCCATCAGGGCGCGCCGCGCGGCAAAATCTTTTTGAATTCCTCGCCCCCCGCGCCGCGGGCGCAGCAACGAGCGACGAGCCAATCCCACGGAGCGGACTCGGATACCCGATCTGTTTTCGAAAAAATTCCAATTCGCCCCCTCCGCGCCAAACCCAACTCCCTCGACCTTTTAACAATCGCCATTCCGCCCCCCCCCAACCCTTCCTCGCCTGATCTCGATTCGGAGCCCCCGCTCTTTGCTGTCGACTCCGAGGAAGGATGTCCTCCTCTTCTTCGCACCCGCTGGACTCTGGAATGAGGCACCACGCCTACAGCAGGAAGCAGAAATCGCTCGGCCTCTTGTGCGCCAAGTAAACCTCGCTTCCCCTTGTTCTTTCCTTTTGATGATGCCATCCTCGGGCTTGTTGTTTGACGTGCCGTGATCTGCTGGTTTCTAAAAGTTTTGTGAGCTTGTATGATCGGGACGGCGTTGACTCGATCGGCCTGGATGACGCGGCTCGGCGGCTCGGCGTCGAGAGGCGGCGGATCTATGATATCGTAAACATCATGGAGAGCGTCGGGGTGAGAGCTGGACTGGTTCCGATGATCGTTTCATTTGAAAAAGTGAAAGAAAGATGCATCTTTTTAATCTCCCTCTGGAGTTTTGTTTAGTGAACAGAGGATGGTTTTATTTTTTGGGGATCTGGCAGGTTCTTGCGAGGAAGGCCAAAAATGCGTACTCCTGGATCGGGTTTTCGGGGATCCCAAAGGCATTGGATAGATTGGAGGTCTGAGCTCGTCAGATCTATCTTTCCCACTTTTGATTTTGTTTGTAGCACAAAACATTTGACGATCTAGCATCTTGATCTGGATTAGGATGAGGCACGAAGTGGAATTACTCGCAGTGAAGGATCTGGTTTCAAGGTATGGTTTGAGCTCTCCTTCCAGTTCCAATTACTCGTATCTGCAGCGCGGAAACAATGTTCATGTTAGCGATCAAGTTCTTTTTGTTGTAATAGGAGGATTTGGAGGACGAACTAGACGAAAGTCCAGATCTGTATGCAGACGAAGGAGATGAGAAACCAAGTCAAATAATTAATTCTTCTTCTTTATCGAGTGGTGCTTGCTGCAAAGCCAGATCTGGTGTGTGTATATTACATTTTTAGCTTTTTTTGTTAGGATAAAAAATAATACTTTTGAATTCAACATATTTATGCCCTTATTTGTTTTAATTGTAGCGACAGCCAACAGAAGGGAGAAATCCTTAGGCACGCTCACTGAGAATTTTATCAAGCTGTTTCTAACCACAGATGTATGCCCATCGATCCCTTTGTCCCAATGAAATTTCATTGATCCTTTCTCTTTGTTTTCTTACCATTTTAGCTAATTTAACTAGTTTTCAATCAGCGGGACACAATTTCGCTTGATGACGCTGCGAGGCTGCTGCTTGGTGCCATCCATGACGCATCTTATATGAGAAGTACTCAAAATCTTTCCTCAAATCTCATGTTCTTCATTAGCAATGTTGGTTCTTTTTCATTCATATTTTCATTCTTTAAGATAATAATGCAGCCAAGATCCGGCGTCTCTACGACATAGCGAATGTCCTGTCATCTATAAATCTAATTGAGAAGGTAAACTCCTATGAGTTACTATGAGTTCAACATTGAAAACGAGAAAGACGAGAATGCATTATGTTTCTTATCTTTCGTTGTGATCTGGGTGTTGCAGACGCAAGTTGAAGCACGGAAGCCAGCCTTTCGCTGGTTGGGATTGAAGGAGGGTAAGATGAAGGCAGATAATAATGTTACAGTTGTTGCACCAGGTCCAAAGAAGCCGACGAAGAGAGCATTTGGAACTGAGATCACCAACGTGGACTCGAAGAAGAGCAGGCCAAATTTAACAGCGGATAAGAAACCGACCAAAGTTCAGACGAAAGATGAGGATCTGAACGAGGGTAATCGCGTGGCCCTGAAGCACTTGGGATCCAAGAGTGGGTACGCTTTCGGCCCTTTTCATCCGAATGGAGTGATGAAACGGGGAGATGATGTTGAGGTGAAGTGCGGGAAAGGAGTTCAAGACTGGGAGAGCTTGGCTGCTTCCTTCCGCCCCCAGTATCACAACCAAGGTCCGATCAATATCTTTATATATTTCATCCGCCAAATTTCTTCTATTTGCACCGAAGGATAGTTACCTTGTTACAACTATTTAGTTGCAATTTGATGGCTTTATATCCTTATGATCTATGTTCTTGAAGAAATGTCAGCACTTGATTGAATATAAATATGTGCATGTTCCCTGTTAAAGTTTATATTGAGTTATTTTTAGTAGTTTAAGTTTTTGGGTCTCATTACAATAACTTGCTCTTAGAGGATGATAAGGTATATATTTGAACCCTTTTCGAATGACTTGAATTTCTGAAATTTGTATTCATCAAATCAAAATAAAATCTTTAAGATTCCCTTTGCAGAAAATCTATAAAGGACAGATTTTGTTTCTTATGCATTTATTGTTTAAATTCATTTAGTAAGTTGGGATGAATCTTTAATTTGAAAAGCTTCAATTATTCTTAATCCAAGCTCATGCCATATGAAGACAGTCCTTTATTGAGATTACACAATCGACAAAGTTCTTTGTTTTGCTGTATTTATCCTCTCGATGTTTGATCCACAGAGTTCATCTATCTACTAGCTTTTAAGATGCAAATCAATTGGTCACTGTTTTATTTCCTAAAAATTTTGAGTATTGCAAATGGAATTTTTTTTTCTGTGGAGATAACAACCAACATGAAGCTTAATTGTTTGTTTATAACTTCTGAAATTTGGAAAGGAGGAATAATTACATACTAATAATGTTTCAGAACCTAATGGTCATAGATCTAAATTTTTATTTCATCTAATTATCACATTCCTTGCATCTTGGCATGACATTAGCCTAACAGTTAATCTTCTCCTGTAGCTTTGAGTGAACTGTTTGCACATTACGTGGAGGCATGGAAAACATGGTACGTGGAGGCCACTAAAGGAAGCAGGAACCTGCAACAGCCTTTCAGTAAGCTCGTCACGAGTGATCTATTGTAGCAAAATTGATATGATCCTCCACTTCATCTATCTGCTTACTTTCACCAGTTAACCTGCGCAACAATTTCTTCATCGTATATGAACTGGCCTGAGACTGCTTTGGGTTCTATGTATTTTCTTCGTACAAGAACCCACAAAGGCTATAGATGAAAGAAAAATACAGTTCATGGGTTGATTCTTGTCAACCAGCGCATGTACTCATCTCCGGTCCTTTTTAATGTTACATTTCAAAAAGATTCTATTTGGTTTAAAAGGTTAGCTTTCCACATTGCTGGTTTCCGGAACATATGTTAATTGTGGAAATGTGTGCAATGGTGAATATGATCCAATGTGAAATCTTAGGGTTCTAATTTCACATATTTCGGATCACCAAACTTGTGTGTTCGTGTGGCAGATATATCATGACCAGCTTTTAATCAGAATGACATCAAGTTAACTTATTGATGCTCATACTTCAGTTCAATCTAATGATGGATCTCAGAAGTCTTAGATCACTCTTTTAAGTGTAAGAATGATTGTTTCATTAATGGATGATAATAAAATTTGACCTGCATGTTTTTGATGTTGGCTCTTTGTTCATGATTAAAGTCTTATAAGAGAAATAGATCTTTTGTGCTATCTTTTTGGCAACACTCGTTTGGCATGGTGATGATGTATCAAATTCATTTTTAATAAATATTAAGATTTAAATATTTATTATTAATTTTCTTACATTTAAAATAGTAATATAATGATGATGTATGTTTTTCATTCATATATCAAATATTCAAAGTTTAAATATTAATTTAATGATGAGAGGACACTTAATCCAAATGTTTCCTTCACATGAGAAGAGAAACAAAGCGAAAATATGAACATATGATTGATTGAATACAGTGGCTGCCATGGTGAGTTAAAAGACATGCCATGCTTCTTGGTATCCAAGGCTGCCTCCATGAAATCTTCGGAAGCAGATTCGCGTTCACTGGATCCAGGAATGGGTGGGTTTGATGAGGTCATCGACTCATAGAGCCGCTTCATAACGACACCTGCCTCTTATGATACGTGCCTAACTGATGTACGTATATCTATTCTTTCGCAAGTTTCTAATTAACTTCTCCAGACGACAACAGATGTAATTATAGTTTGAATATAAAAAAATAATCTTAAAATTTATATAAATATCTAAAATACATTAACATTTCAATTAATATTTCAACATTGTTATTCAAATATCATTGTTTTAAGAAATGAGGCATTATATATATATATATATATATATATATATATATATATATATATATATATTCAGCTTCTTCTCTGCCTCGAGACTCTGAACCCTCGTGAGTACCACAAAGGCAACAATGGCCGTCCTCGCCCGCTCCTCGTCGCCATCCTCTCTCTCAAAGCTCCTCCTCCGTCCACATTCCTTCTCGTCATTACGCTCCTTTTCTTCCTCCGCCGCCGATGACCAGCGCGTCCTCACCATCGAGACGAGCGTCCCCTTCACAGGCCACCGGATCGATCCCCCCTCCCGCGCCGTCGACACCACCCCGGCCGAGATCCTCTCCTTCTTCCGCGACATGGCGGTCATGCGTCGCATGGAAATCGCCGCCGACTCGCTGTATAAGGCCAAGCTCATCCGCGGCTTCTGCCACCTCTACGACGGCCAGGAGGCCGTCGCCGTCGGCATGGAGGCCGCCATAACCAAGCGCGATGGAATTATCACCTCCTACCGCGATCACTGCACTTTCCTCGGCCGCGGCGGCACCCTCCTCGAGGCCTTCGCCGAGCTCATGGGCCGCCGCGATGGCTGCGCCAAGGGCAAGGGCGGCTCCATGCACTTCTACAGAAAGGAAGCCTCCTACTACGGCGGCCACGGCATCGTCGGAGCCCAGATCCCTCTGGGCTGCGGCGTGGCCTTCGCGCAGAAATATTCCAAGGATGGCTCGGTGACCTTCGCCTTGTACGGCGATGGGGCTGCCAACCAGGGGCAGCTTTTTGAGGCGCTTAACATGGCCGCCTTGTTAGATCTGCCGGCCATCTTGGTTTGCGAGAACAATCACTGTGAGTGTTTCTATCGTGCCCTTCTATGTGTGTGGGTAGGGAGAAGGACGCAGACGGTGACTGATGGAAGTTTCACCTACCTACCTTGTTTCCCAGATGGAATGGGTACAGCCGAGTGGAGAGCCGCGAAAAGCCCAGCCTATTACAAGCGTGGCGACTATGTTCCTGGTCTTAAGGTCAGGAAAGGAAGTCCCTTTCTAACTTTCTAATCTTCTTGATGCATTGGTCACGATCTGAATTCTAGGTATTCTAAGTCACTTTCTAACTTTCTAATCAGCCACTGCCGCTGACCTATTTAACTATATAGCCCTTTCGGACTAACAGTAGAGGCCTATTCAATAGTATTTCCTTTTTATATAGGATCTTGGTAACATTTTGCTTTTAGCACCATAGAAGCCATGGCATTTGGGATGTTGTGCTTAAAAAAATGGTGGCTCAGTGCACGAGGGGTTCACCAATTTGGGGTGGTCATCGCATTCGGCTTTACCCTGCAACTTCATGCAGGGAAACTATTCCCATTACTCAAACCTTGTGGCATTTTAGATTATATTCCTCCTTGGATCATCTCTTGAATCATATTGCTAAATGAGTTCTTTCTCTGTTCGTTATCTTCTTGGAGTCTTCTCTTGTTAAATTAGGGTTGTAGATACTATTCAACATTCTGTGGCAGAGGGTGGAAGAGCAGCGGTCATGATGTTAATACAGTTTCACTTACTTTTAGCCTTTTTTGGGTCAGATTAAGTTGCTCATTCAGATGTGAAATACCTCAGCACTTATTGATCTTTCTTATCTCTTGCTCTTTTGGTGGAAAGTGAAAAAAAAAAAGTAGGTAAAAAGGTTCACAAACCGTGAACTGATTGTTCAGGACTTTTATGCACATGATAGATGAGTCATTCTCTGAGACATTTGTTTCAAACTTGACAATATGAAAAGACAACACTGGAAATTTGATTTTGCATAATTTGTAGGAAATTTATTTCAAACTTGATGATTAGTTCAAGTTGAAAATAACATTTGAAAATTGAACTGCAAGGGTAGGTTGGTAAGAATTACTCTAGTATAGTCTTGATTGCAGAGTTTGTTTAAAAGGATCATTTCCTGATCACTAATTTCAGACTGACTTGGATCCAGCTAAATATGGGAGTGTGTCTAACAATGCACTCTTTGTATCCTTTTTGTCTTCCAATTTTCTACTCAATATCTTCGTGAAATGTACTTTAGCTTAGTTTGTTCTTCTAATCCTAGAGAAATTATCAGTATGAATCCAGCCTTTTCTGAAGTTTGTTTATTGATACAAGAAGCTAAACATGAGTTATATTATCTGGAGCTATGTCTACATGGATGTGGAGCTTTTCTTCAACAGAGGACCCCAGTTGAGAAAACCCATGTATAATATAAGTGCCCCCAAGGTAGAAATTATGATTGATTCAATAACATGGCTGGAACAGTAAGAAAAATCTGTGTTGGTCCCATGCACCATCCCTAATTCTTGTGTTCCTCTGGCACATGACTTTTTATGGGGTTTACTTCTGTGGCTGCTTGAATGACAATCAGTTTGACGACTCAACATGCTTGATTTTTTTTTTGTGGTGCTAAAGACCACGGAAAGATTAATCTTGAGGCTTTCAATGCATTCAAGCAATTGCAATAGTATAAATTGAAATAAGTTACTGAGCATTTATTGATAAATTTAGAACTTGTATTGGAGAAGGAAGTAGTTAATGTCAGTTAAAAATGTTCACTTGGCTTGGTGTCCGCTCTGCTTACTATGAAAGAACTGAACTATTTCGAGTGATGACCTAGTCATGTCCCATTATCTGTGCTTCTTTGGGCTCAAAGACATAAATGTGTCTTTCAATTATTCAACCCAAGTGTTTGTTCTCCTAATTGATTGCAATTAAAGTCAGCAAAATCTTATATGGGGTCAACTATATGGATCTTTGACACAATGAAAGATTGAGCTCTAACATAGTCATTGTTGTTTAATGTAGAATTCAACTTTCAACTGGAAACAGAGGGATTGTCTTTGTGATTCTGGAGGATGGAAAATACATGGTTTAAACCTTTTTCATGTTTGAGTTGATATTGAGATTTACCACTGGATCTGATCCATGATAGAGAGTCTATATTTGTTACATTATACGTGCTATTATAAATGTTCCTGAGGTCTGATCATTTTTGGTTTGGGTCATTACCATCCAGGTTACTGGTCAAAACTTATATAGTTCTAAGTGGACCAGGTCTCAGATTAAATTGAATTGGACTCGACTCATTGACCCCTCTTTATAGCAAACAGTGACTATTCATAAAAGGTGATTGTAGACAAATAAGCTACATAAATGGATGTTAATATATTTTTCTAATCAACTTGTAATGTTCATCTTATATATTATAAACAAATGATGCTGCTAAAGTATGCATATATGGATATGTTGTACTTTTTTATATTGCAAATGTATATGTGGAAGCCTAGCTATATGATAATGTTATATGCACATGTTAGGATCTTAATATTTTGATTGCAATTCTGGTTCATCGTTGCAAGATTTGCTTTGTACAATTTGCTGGTTGTGAATTTTGATTTTCTTCTAGATTATCATGTTGTTCACTCTATTTGTATTAGCAACTTCATTGCCTATGCCCGCAACGTAATATAAACTGTATCCTTTAGATATTAGGTTCTGTTGATTATATAAAATTCCTTGTCAGTATATTGTTTTTTTTTCATAACAGGTTGATGGAATGGATGTTCTTGCTGTGAAACAAGCATGCATTTTTGCTAAAGAATATGCTTTAGCTAATGGACCCATTGTGAGTATATAATCAACCTTTTTATTTGTCATGCTTTATTAGAGAATTTTTTTATGTAGCCTTGGAACAAACTATCTTATGGTTTGTGTGTTTGGGAGATTATAGAATACTTGATGTTGGCTAACTATTATGTCAGATATAATAGTTTAGTACAGATTAATTTAGATTAATGAAGATCCATGAAGCATGATGAGCTTCGCCTTTAATGAATATGTAATCATAAATAGATTTTTGGTGTAAAATGAGGACTTCAAACATAATATCTGAATAATGTTTGGTCACAATATCATGCATGCCCAAAGAATGTGCTCTATTACCAATTTTGTGTAAACTTGTATCAGGAAGTATTTATCCTTTACGTTAAAATATCTTTATCATTTATTTTATACTATTAATGTATCTATCCGAGCCTGTATATGGTGATATCTTATGTCTCCTGCATATAATAGTCACATTTTATTCTGTCAAATCCTCTTTGCTGCATTTTAGTCATAGTTCTGAATTTCTGATGTTGTAGGAAACACATTATGACTTCTATAATTTGTCAATTAGATGTGTGAAGCCCCTTGCCGGATCAGAGTGGTCCATGGCCACATCCAACGTCCTGTCATGGACTTAGCTGAAAATTCTCTACTATCTTCTGTGGATTGCATGTCCTGGTCCTCTCTGAACAGAATGCAGCTCATGCATGCGTCTCTGGTGTACATGTGTGGCCTGATTTAGAAAGGAAATATTTAATAAGTTTAATTCATTTCAGTTTACATGGCCATCAATTTTTAAATCTCTGAATCATGTTGCTGGTACTCTGAGGTAAAAAAAGAAAGGCTGTCATATGTGTGGGCCCTATTTGAAAACTCCACTTTGACATATAAAAAATACCAATTTGAGTCAGATTGTCAGAGTAGATTGGCTATGAATTTGAGGCAGAGCTTAATCTGCTTCCAGGAGTGATACCCTCAGTATTTTAGGAAAAGGAAGTCGGAAGTTCTGGCATCCCTCTGCAAGTCACAGTCTGCAGAAATCACCATTGTAGATCATACGTTTTCATGATTGATGAACTCAACAAATCAGATTGAAGACCATACTTGCAATGAATGATGGAAGAGAGATTTTTTTAATTAAATAACTCTGGAGTCCTCTATCATATCCTCTGACATAAAGGACTCCCAAAATTATATCATTTAAATAAAAGGTCAGTTATTCTGTTTCTGCATGATCCAGACCTCTTGCATCTTTGGCTGTTAATAATATGCATGTTCTACAATCTTTATATTGCTGGTGAGATTCTTCTTTCATTCTATTAAAACATGTCATGTTCATGATTTTTATTAAACATTTTACTTTGACTTGTTATCAATTTCAAAAAGCATGTCAAACACTGGGACCATAATAGATGTACTTGGTGACTTAACAAAAATGGAACACTACTTTGAACCATCATTGGACAATTGATTTGATATGAAAAACTAGTTGAATTGTTATATTTTTAGCAAGCAGTGAGTATTGGTTTTTCCTAGTCAGCACTTAAATTTCTGGTATTCAGATCTGGAATGGACATGTTTAATATATTTTGTACTATGTTTAATATTTTAGATAATTTCTAGTCTTCCCTTGGAGTGAAGTTTCTGGCATTGTCCCTAGTCAACAACTTCTGCCAAGTGGTTTGCTTTTCTATCTTTCGGATGATCAGTAAAATTTCTTTTCTTCTTTAAATCGCATTCTTAATCTTTTTTCCCCTTGAAGTTGATGCTGTTGGCCTTTTTATCATTCTCTGTTTCATAGAGTTGTTTTTTTTTTTTTGAGTGTCCTAACTCCTAACTGCTTTAAGAAAAATCAGGACATCAATTATTCAAATGTGTTGAGATCTTTATTTTTTGCTGAATATGGAATCAACCTAGAAAGCCTGGTGAATTGGCATAGATGAAGATTTCACAATTTTTGGGACTAAAATGTTGTTCTAACTTGTGGGATGTATAGTTTTCTGGTTACACTTCATCTTCCCTCATATTTCCTAAATATTGGTCCTAACTGTAAATTGTTTGTCATTGTACATCAACATGGTTTGTTTAACATTGTATGGGTACATGGCTCGATTCTTGTTCCATACCCTTTGCATGTGTATACATAAATTTGTGTGGATATATCAGACACATAACATTGTATGTGTACATGATACATAAATTGATGTGTGGATATATCATACAATCAGCTGTATACATAGTTATAAGCTCGTGTTGATATAAATTAGACAATGGATGAAGAACTCATATTTTTCTTCATATACTGGTATCCAGATTCTTGAAATGGATACTTACAGGTACCATGGGCACTCCATGTCAGATCCTGGAAGCACATACCGCACACGTGACGAGATCAGTGGTGTAAGACAGGTCAGCTGATCATACCCGGTTCACTTACTATTAATTGATTTTTTGAGTTCTCGTTTTAAGAAAGCTGTTTTATATTGTACACAGGAACGAGATCCCATCGAGAGGGTTAGAAAGTTGATATTGTCTCACGAGCTAGCTTCTGCCTCTGAGCTGAAGGTTTTATTCAATTATGTTCTAGAATGAGCTGCTTGTATTTCCAGAAATTAAAAAACCATATGAAAATATTGAGAGTCTACAGTCGTATCAATCTCTGCATTTGATCTTTTTGTCCTTTTGATCAACTTATGCTTCATGATTTGTCAGGATATTGAGAAAGAAGTTAGAAAGGAAGTAGATGATGCAGTTGCTCAAGCAAAGGTCAGCAAGTGACTCTGAACTCGTCATAAGTTTTACTATGCCATGCTCTTTGATATTATCATGGTCTTGTTTTAACCTTTTCTTTTTTAATTCCCAAACTTCAGGAATGCCCTATGCCTGATCCATCTGAGCTCTTTTCCAATGTGTATGTTAAAGGTTTTGGTGCTGAGGTATATGATTTTCTTAAATCTTTGCTTTATTTTTATAAAACCTATCTTTTTGAAATTTAGATTATCATTAATGAAGAGAGTTGACAATGCATATTGAATATCTCGAGTAACATGGAACTTCAGGATCTAGCATTCTCATTGTTGCTGTTTCCGGTATTAGTAAGGCAATTCAAACAATCATATGTAACATATTGGAGACACAATTGCCATGTTTCTTATAAGCCCCATGGGTCTTGTAAAGGAGTTACAACAGTGTTATCATACATCCATATTTGTCATAGGCCCCAAGAGTCTACTAAAGGAATTACAGTGTCAGGTGCAGTATAAAATTGAGAGATGTATGAAAGCCAGCGATAAATAGCAGAGCTAGTTGACCTTTTTGATCAATGAAGACATTTTGTGTTGCTGTGGTTATGGATAGGCAAACCCATTTGCGCAGCCAAACCAAGATGAACTGACCCTTTTAGCCCTATTTGACCAATCTTGATCCGGTGACCGTCAAGCATAGTTTTCACAATTAGTTGTTCTCAACTGATCCCATGTTTACTTCTCCCCAAAAAGATTAGTTTGTAGAACAGATCTGGATATGCCAATCTGAGCCCACTCAATGCAGTGGAAAGGTGGCTGTGTATACGTTTTATATAGAACTTATGATGTGGGTTTGTTTTTAAACTTCCTGATGGTTCAGTGAACAAAGCAACGGTTATTGTCTAAAGTGGGCAACTATGGAACTTCTTCACAGAGGAATTTATTTGGCTGATATAACCAGGAGAAAAAGAGAAGAAACAATCCACTATGAATACAGTTACCGAAATTTCAATCGAGTATTGCTTGCTTAAACCATCTCCTTAGAGTTTATTTTGTCAGTGATGGATCAAGCACCATGCTCATTATATACTATATAGTTATTTCAGTTTAATATTGGCTTGTTTTTCATCTTATTCCTTGCCAAAGATACTAGTGAGGATGCTAAACTCTTCGCCATCAAAAAGGAATATAGACCATTGCCTTATGATTTTTTAGCTTTGATTTTTCTATCAGTTGCTGTACACTATTTGTTCTTGCATTTAAGGAAGAGGGCATGTTCAAGATCTTTTTGGGCACGATTCATTTTGAGAATTTATGTTCTTACTGTGAAATATTACCTGCCATCATGTTAGAGGACAAGGATGAGCTGTGGCTATCGAGAATAAGAGACCTGTTGATTCTTAGTTAATGGCCAAGGATGAGCTGTGGACGACGTTTGACTGACCCTATGATTATGATCTTGTCATAGTAAACCTACATACATGGTCATATATCGAATCAAAGCAGAGGAAGAATCAAGTATGCATCGTGCAGCTGGAGTTGGTGTTATGCTGATATGAGTAAATTGATTTGGACAAGTAAATTAGTGACTAATTTGTAGTTCTGATGCCATGAAGGAGAAACGTGGTCGGTGATAGATTACTCAGGGAAGTCAAGTTCAGATGTTGCAGGAACGTTAAGCATTGTAGAATAAGATTAATAGTAGTCTGGAAGGCCAATAATGCCCCTTTATGATGAATTATACTGCAAGATCAAGTTTTTAAGTGCCCATCGCATGATTCACTTAAAGATCGATGATGAACTTATTGTTGATATTCTCTACGAGAAATTGGGCACTCATCAACCTTACCCGACATATTTTTCAGCCATTAAGCTGTTTGACTGCTTTTCGAACATCCCATGTGTTTTGTGAAAGGAAAAAGTGTGGTTGGCAAAATTTGCATGGTAAATCAAGTCATCTTTTTTTTTGTCGATGATCATCATTTTTTTATTGAGTGCTGATTCTGTATGCACTGATTGTATTCGCATCATTTCTCAAAAGAAATTTTATTGCTTTTTTTCCTGAAAAAAGAACTGACTTTTCCCTTCCCTCCCCCTCTTGCAGACGTTTGGTCCAGACAGGAAGGAGGTGAGATCTGTTCTTCCCTGAATCAGATTGCAGTAAGCACAGCAACTCCTTTCAATTAGTGTTGTTTGGAAATAAGAGGGAGGTGAGGCAGCTGCAGATAGCCGACAACGGTAAACAATCTGTCGTTTTTATCTACTCGGTGTTTCTCCACAACTTATGAATCTATCTGTGGTTTTCTTTGTATCTTTTGGTAACGAAAATTGTAATATTTCTTTCTTCTTCTACAGCAACAATAAATCTTTGTCTTAACCATTTGGAGTTGGCTATATAAATATTTGTTTTCTTCCTCAAGCAGGTAATATATGATTTTTTTAATTTAAAATTTGAAGTAGCAATAAACTTATTCGAGTTTCTTAAGTGTAATGAATGGTTTTTTCCAAAAGAAGACTTCGTTTGGAAGTTCCACGAACACAAAAGCTCACGTGGGAAAGAACTCGAATGCGTCTCATACACACATCAGGAGATGGGAGAGAGATGATACTGTGCGGGTATGGAATGAGAGAGAAGCCGTGAGGAGGTTGACATGCATGGGACTTCCCGAGATGCCTTGCGTGCGAAATGTGCATACGAGGTCGAGGTAGATGCGGCGACGTAGATCACCGGCCGTTCATTCAACTCGAAGGCTTTGATAGTTGTGGAGATACGATTAACTATCATGGGACGGTTACGATCTAAAAGCAGCGTTCGTTGGTTTACGGGCAAATATTTCCGTGAACACAATCATTGACATCCTTCTCCGCCGGCTCAGCTCACAACACTGCCACGTGGTGGTGGCGCTTGTCCCCGGTTTCCTCAAACCAGCAAACGGAACGTCAAATCCGGACAGAGCCAACCGGAGAGTTGGCCACAACGGCCACAACAAACATGCAAACAAACAAACGGCAACAGCAATTAGCAGCAGCAGCGTGACTCCGTCGCTTCCAATTTAGCTAAGCACCCACATAAATGACCTCGCATCCCCGCCCACCACCACCTTCTCCGGTCTTCTTTTTTCCGCTTTTTCTCTGTGTGGCCAATTAAAGATTCCTACAACACGATATGGCCTGCGGACAAAAGAAGACTAATTCTCCTTCTCCACCACCACCAGTCCAAGAAAGAAACGCCATATCTTCCTCTCTCTTCTTCTTCCTCCTCCTCTTCTTCTTCACATCCCCCACCGGCGCCGCCTTCTTCTTTGCCCTTGCACCGCCTACACCCCCTGCCCATCTTCGCTTCGAGGAGGCCAACCAGTTCCACAACAGCGACATCTGCCCGTCTGCCTCCGCCGGGGTTGGCCGCGCAACCGCCTGCGACCCCTCCTACGTCCACATCGCCATGACGCTGGACTCACACTACCTCCGCGGCTCCATCGCCGCCGTTTACTCCATCCTCTGGCACACCTCCTGCCCCGACACCATGTTCTTCCACTTCATCGCCCCCGCCGGCGGCCACGACGGGGGCGATGATAAACTTCCCAGCCTTCTTGGCTCCATCGTCCGCTCCGTGTTCCCTTCCCTCCGATTCGAGGTGTACACTTTCCAGGAGGAGCTCGTCAGCGGCCTCATTTCCTCCTCCGTCCGCCAGACCCTCGAAAACCCCCTCAACTACGCCCGCGTCTACCTCGCCGACCTGCTCGACCCCTGCGTCCACCGCGTCGTCTACCTCGACTCCGATGTCGTCGTCGTCGACGACGTCCGCCTCCTCTGGGACGACGCGGCCGCCCGCCTCGCCTCCGCCGCGGCCGTCGTCGCCGCCCCCGAGTACTGCCACGCCAACTTCACCCGCTACTTCACGTCCGCCTTCTGGGCGGAAGGCGGGGCTCGGGTCTTCGCCGGGCGGCGTCGCCGGCCTTGCTACTTCAACACCGGGGTGATGGTGATGGACCTCCGCAGATGGCGGGCCGGGGGGTACCGGCGCCGGATCGAACGGTGGATGGAGGTGCAACGGGAGCGGCGAATCTACGAGCTGGGCTCCCTGCCGCCCTTCCTGCTGGTGTTGGCCGGGGAGGTGGAGGGTCTGGATCACCGGTGGAATCAGCACGGCCTCGGCGGCGACAACCTCACCGGAGAATGCCGGTGGCTCCACCCCGGTCCCGTCAGCCTGATGCACTGGAGCGGGAAGGGGAAGCCATGGGACCGCTTGGACGCCGGCTCCCCCTGCCCCGTCGACCATCTCTGGCATCCCTACGACCTCTTTATCCGGCCATCCTCCGGGACCGACATCCTCGCCTTCTTCATCCTTTATTGGTCTTCGTAGTCCTTGGCGTGTTACGCATTGGCATTCTTTATTCCTTTGTTTCCATTCGTTTAGGGGCGGAGAAGGCAGCTCGCCACCGCCGGCATAACAATGTACAGATCAGAACAGAACAGAGAGCGAGAGAGAGAGAGAGAGAGAGAGAGAGCGGCGATTCATCCACCGGTTTGGTTCGTTCTTTAGCTTGTTTTTAGGGGTTCAAAGATTAATTTGAAATCGCTTGCTACATTTATGTCGTCCGATTCATTCAATTCATGTATAAACGGATGCATTCCATTGTATTTTGGTCTGAACAATTGACTGATCTTTGTCTACAATTTTATCACGATGGAAACGGGGAGGAGGGGGAATATTATGGTTGGTGGGAGGTGGGGTCCAATTAATGATGCTCTTCGGTGTCAGCCACGTCTCTCGTACAGGCTGGATATGTCTGGATGCAACTAATTATATCCGCAGGGGAGGATAGTCGCCAGCTGTGCAGTGCAGACACTACGAGGTGCTTGCGGTCTCCACTCCGTACACGTACATGAAGCTGACGCGTAAACCGACAATGCAAACTCTCCTCCTTGCATTTACGTGTAAACACGCATATCAGATGATATTATAGCATAACATACTTTGTCGTGTTTAGCATATTATACACATCATGTCATGTCATGTCATTTCACATTCAATTGCACATCATGCCTTTGACAACACCCTCGGTTGTAATAGTAACAGCAGCTGTACATAAATGAAATTAATAATAAGGTAGGGAAATAGTATACCCAGAATTACAACTCAATGCAAGAAAAACATTATTTATTGAGACGAGGTGATGTCATTTCTCTCCAGCATTATCCACCCATGTGATGATGATTCACGAAACATGATGTCACCGCTAAGAATGACGACACGCATGCGGAGGAGGACGAGAGGTGTGATGGATAGTGGCGACGCGCTCGCGAGGCGTACGTGTCATGACTTGCGATAACAACGATGGTCTCTTCATCATTTATAATCGCAGCACCTCATACAACAAACCGTCCCAAGAAACTCTTTTCGCTGGAAGTCATCGAGGGCAAAATCCTTCCTCCGTTTTGGTCTTCCTATTTCCTCTTTATTAGGGTTTTTTTTTTTGTTTGCGAAGGAAGGGGGTGACGATCCTATGGGTTTCGATGCGATGGCCAACGGCGCTTCGGTTCCCGTCTTGATCTCACGGGACGCCGCCAAGAAAAAGAGGGTGAGGAGGAGATTCGAATCGGGTATCAGGAAAAAGGATCACATCTCGTGGATAATATATCGAAATCGTTCTCATCCCCATCTATTTGTTTGTGTGTCAGACGAATCGCTCGGCGAAATTGAAGCAGTGCAAGCTTGATGTACGCCGCGAGCAATGGCTGTCTCGAGGTTCGATTCCCACGTACATCGACTTTTATTGTACTTTTTAGATCACTCCTTTTGATTTTTCTTCCTTTTTCTTTTCTTTTCCCCGTACTTGGGATCAGCCAACAGCAAAGACGATTGCAAGATTTTGGCCGCGGCCAGCTCTCCTCGTTTACCCCATCCGCCACGGCCCCGGGTGGACGAAACGGATTCGAGGACGAGGGAGGAAGATACGATCTCGCATGGTAACGACGATTCGGATTACCCAATGCCCCACCTTCGCCGTGGTAATAGAAGAACTTTAAGCAGCGGAAGCAGCATCGAGTCTAGCTCTTCAAGTGTCAGCGACGCCGAAGACGAGGGGATCGATAATGTAAGGGGCGGTAACCGGGTCCTTGATGACTGGGAGGCGGTTGCCGACGCCTTATCTGAAGCCAATGATCGTGACGGCCTTGGCCCTGATCCGGTAGTGCCTGCTGTTTCCGCCGGATTGCCTTGCGAGCCTCCTCGTGGCGGGAGCACCACAAAGCCGGAGCCCATTCGGAGCGCGCCCAGAGCCTGGAGGCCGGACGATGGCTTTCGGCCACGGAGCCTTCCCAGTATCTCGAAGCAGTGGAGCATTCCGCCAAACCAAGATCGGCACTGTTGGGCTTCGCCACAGAAGGGCGTGCTTTCAACGCCTTGCCCGTGCCCTATCTGTTGTGAGGACTTGGATCCCACGGACTCGAGCTTCTTCCCCTGTTCGTGTGGCTACCGTCTCTGCCTCTTCTGCCACAAGAGGATCCTTGAGGCCGATGGGCGTTGCCCCGGTTGCAGGAAACAATATAACTCCATTTCGAGTGGAGCGTTGGTCGTGACCACCGTTGGGCCATCGTCGTTACCAGTCCGGATGCCCCGATCTTTAAGCTTGCGTTGCAGAACTTGGAACAGGGAGCATTAGTTTGTTGTGAAAGATATTGGTAGTGTCTAATTATTGGAGGAATCCTTGATTTTTCCAATAGAATGAGATGTGAATATAAGCATATACAACGGTGTCTAGGAACATCGAGTCTATCTTTAGGTTACTATTTAGAAAGGTCTAGGGGTATGTGTGAGAACCTGTCTTTGTTGCTAATTTGGAGTTCAGAAATAACAGTCAAATTAATTTGCAAATGTGATAATATATGACACTATTATTTGCTGTTAACTTCAATTCTTTGCTCTCCATTAAGTTCAGTGTATAGACCGCTATTTGCATTTGTATGTCTATGATGTCATCTGTCCATTATTTTATCATAGTCGATCTTCATGTCCCCTCTAACACTGGTAATTTGTTACTGTGCAGCAGATTGAGTCTCTACATGATGCTCCTGAGAGTCATTTTCCTAGATAGAAAAAGGTATCTTTCTTTCCTTTGTTTGATCTTTTTGTCTTCTGTCTGGTAATTTTAGCTATCATATTTTGGCTAAACTGTACTGAGTCAATTATACATGCAGGTTATGTTGATGTATTAAAATGTAACTTACCTTGTAAAGTTTTGCATTGTCAGTGAATCATGTCTGCTAGATTTTGAAGGATGACATGAAAATCCATATTGCATTTTTTCGGGAAAATCTTGCCCTACTTTGGTTGTTTTAACATTTCATACCAAGTGCTGTTTTTGTACTTAGGGGTAATCCTCGATGTGATGATGCTGTATTTTATTTATTTTAGAGTACCATAATTTAAATGTTAAGTAGCAATTTTTGAGTGAAAAGCATCTTTCATTTTCCTGTTGTTCTAGAAGCAAATTTGCATTTTAAGACGGAGCAATCGTGGAATTAACTATTACCATGTTCGAGATCTTTTCTGTCTTACCTGTTGATTTAATTCATGTGTTAGCAGTAGTTTTGCAGCTATGGGAATAAATTTCTTTTATCTTTTATATTGTGCTGTCTTGTTCAGTCATTCATCTAGATTCTGCTTGCAAGGTCCTTCCTCTTGTTGTTACTGTAACTGGATGAGTTGGCTCAGAATCACCAATCAACTGTGAGCAAAGTGGTCTGTGAGGTGGTACAATTAAATAAACGGCACATATTCTTTATTCACAAGTATTTTGGCTGCTCTGAAGGTTTCAATATTTCCAAGTCGACAATTCTGTATGTTCTATCTGTTGTGATATCTTCATCTGATATGTTTTCAGGTAGAACAACACTCCTTAAAACATAATGATGCTGGATGCTTGATACAAGCGCTTGACACGATCGAAGATGTCTCATGCCCCCTGGTACTTAAAAGTGGTGGTTTTGATTCTTTTTTCTCTAGACACCTATGTTTTTATTTGTATTATTATTGATGAACTAATTGCTAAAAGTAATCCTTAAATAACTAGCACACTTTTGAAGTTTGCGTTTTGTAGCTCTGTGAGCGATGTACCATTGACCATTTCATACTGGTAGTATGCTTGAACTTGTAAGCATGATGTTGTTCATACACCTTGTACGTTCAGATCTATCTATCTGAATTAGATATTGATATATTTATGTGCTAGAGGTTGCTAAGTTGCCATGTTTGACAAATTTAGTGCTGTAACAAGGTCATTGAAGTGACTTCCTCTCTCATTTTTTTTGCCTCATTGTATATATATGTATACATATATATACATATGATCCTGTCAGAGTTTATAACGGATTTACTCAAGAGGGATCATGATAAATTTTACACATGTTTGACTGGTGAACAATAGCACGAGACATGGCATTTGCTCATTTTGTCCACTTTGATGACACGTTTAATTGTTCTTAATTTTTATAAAATGCATTGGAGAGAGAAATTTCAATTGGTGTGACCACTCCTGATTGGGTTTATATATCAGGTCCTTAATGATGTTTAAGATAGTATACTGACCTAAGTTAATTTTGCTCTTGCAAGGATGATGGAACTGGACGTGTCTATGTTGTTGGGGCTCGCAAGTGAAGTTTTTGAAGAGTCACAGCAATCTTTGGCGTGTGGGACACTGGACTATCTACGTGGTCGTAAGGTCTGCAACACCAAATTTCAGAAAGAAAAGAAAAAGAATAAATCATAGTAAGGTCTTCTTTCTGTTTTGTTGTAGATGCTCGGCGTTAAACGAACTGAAAGAATTCTTCCTACTGGTATTGCATTGACTGCCGTGGGTGAGGTAGTAGATAATTACGCAAGTGATTGTGATCATCGGGACTTTGTTATTGAGTATAAGAATATTTGGTATTTTGAATCATGCCTTCAAATGTACGCGTATTTGCTCATAGCTTATACGTGTATTTTCTTGTATTTGCTCATAGCTTTAAAGATGATGTTGGGTCAATTTTAGGTGTCCCCAAAGAACATCGATCAGTTAATCGCAAATCGAATTGGCTAGGGTTGTACTTTGTAGTTATTGTTTTCGTTTTCATAAATACTTCATTGACGTTTGTTCTGTATGTATGTATGTATGTGCACAAGAGTTGCTAACAGTATGAACGTATTCAACCTATGCACTTCAGTAGTTAGGTTCATGGAATAAAATGAAGAGGTTCATGGAATAAATGTGTGCGACTGCATGTTCGTGTGTTTCTTCCTATTGGGTTTTCATTATTAGTTTTGGATATTTGATGCAGGAATTCTCTTTCCATTTTTAATTTTTTGGTGGGTGCAATTTTGTGTCTTTGGTTGAAAGATGACTACAACAGGTCAGGTCATCGTGTAGTCGTCCACGTACGTAACTCACTGGCTACCGTTACGGATGACGTTAACATTTGCTTGCTTTTGAGATTAACGATGTGAACCCATTTCATGAGATATAGATATCGAAGAATCACGTAAACAAAAGCATCGTCCCTCAAAAGTCAAAAGCAGAAGAGGAATCCGATGCCATGAAAAGAAACAGACCAAAAATTACTTGGCATCTCAGCAAAGCATTTATCGCCCTGATTGGTTTCGATGCTATCACATCGGCGTGCCGTCCCTACTTACTCTATTCTCTCTCTCGCTCTCTGTCTCTCTCTCACTCGCAGTCTCACACACACACACACAACATAAACCTCGCTATTAAAAACCCCTTCGGTCATCTTGTGCCTCAGTCTCCAACGAACAAAGAAGCAGCTGCCTCCGAGCCCATGGGCGTGTGCGAAAAGCTCTTCACCGCCCTCCACTTGAAAGCCCGTCGGGACTCCGCCACCGATGTCACCAGTAAACCCGTGAAAGAACCTGCGGAGGCGGTGGGGCCTCGACCGACGGCGGCGCCCATGGAGGAGCTGCAGCACCAGCAGCAGCAGCAGAAGAAGAAGAAGAAAAATATCAACGAAAGGGCAGCAGAATACATCAAGACCGCGAGGATCAAGATCAGGGCAGCTTCCTTCAGCAGGGCACCCACCTCCAAGTAGTACAGATCTAATCCCATGGCGCGAAAGACGAAGCACCGAAATCTTTAATTAAAATACCCCTCTCCTGTTTCTTTGCGTACCTATCATCCATCGTTTGAGAATAATGGTATTGTTGTTTGCTTTCATCACTTCCTTCCCTATGTTTCGTTATCGTCGTGGCCTCCTCGGATAATAGATGTGGGCGGGAGGGCGTTATTAGCGTTCCCAAAATCCAATAATACCGACATGCTTAAATCGATGTCCTTCCTTTCAATATCGTGGTCTGACGAAAATGGGCCGTGTGAAAGGCTGAGGCGGCCCAAATGTGCAGGGCTTACGGCGGCCCGACTTTACTCCGATCATAGGCAGAAATCGTACGATCCAAATGTGGTTTCTGCTGTCGATTAAAATTGGGATCAGCCTCGAGCACCAAATCGGATGCCTGACAACTGCGCCTACCGCTAATGCGGGGGGGGGGGGGGTGCAGCTTAAGAATCAATCCATGGCGGATCCGGTGATCGACGGATTCAGATCCATATCCATGTTATTAGAAGTATCCATATTAATAATGCACATAAGAAAGATTAGATTATAATTCCACTTCATTATAATCAATTTTAGATTAATATTTGTGGAGACACCCACTTCATCATCCATCTTATGTAATGAAGTGCCTCCACATTTTCTTTAATTATGGGCACGCAATAATCGCAGTTTATCTACTCCATGAATTGTTGAAGCTTATACGCAAACTCAAAACCTGATTCCTCTTTTACGGTATTATTCCTTTTAATGCTTTCAGATAAATAGATAAATAGATAGATAGATAGGTCCTCATCGACAGAAGAAGACGAAGAAGAAAAGGTCCTCATCGACAGCCTTCCTTCGTCAGGGCTTGTCTTTAAAAGTACCATCTCTCTTCAATAAAGTCAACGGCGTTGGTGAATGAAGACTTTCTCAATAGAAATTTCTACTGCATGTGATGTTTGAAAATATAATCTATATGGTAAATTTTTAGTTAGATACCTTTAACATTTTGATATTTATATTTTAAAAAATTACATTGACATTTCTATAGTTACGAAAATAAAACATCTAGATTCGTTTATCGTAACACATTCAATTTTATCGATATTTACATTGATACCAACGCAATTGCTATTCGGTAACCGCATCAAGATCGATACAAATGTAAAGCGACGTGAAGCGAGCGACGATGAGATCAACGACACGCTCCTCGTAGAGACGAGTGGTGTTGCAATGAAACGATCCTTATCATTGTCGAAGACGATCAAGCAATTACGTCGACATCGACACCAACAATACCGTCGTCCGCCACCACCAATATCGTTCGTCATCGAATATTAAAATTATATTTTTTATTCTTTATTTTCATATTTTCATCGATAAAAACTAATGTCGTCAGGGTAAATAAATATAGATGTTTCACTTTGTTTAACTATAGAAATGCTAATATAACTTTTTAAAGTGTAAGGACCGAATGCTAAAGATAACTAACTAAAAGACTAATATGTAATTAGCCCCCCATTTATTTTGCTTCTAAATACTAGTAATATTTGATATAAAACAAGCATGAAGTCCAAGTGAAGCATATAAATATAGGATATTGAACTATCAAACTGGCATGAATAACCTGTCCAGCACATATAACAAAACAGAAAACAAAATCCAAGCTGTAATTAACAAAACATGTCTAGAAGTAATATGTACACTGGCTCATATGTGCATATAAGGCAGGTGAATTATATGAACTCTGCAAATTGTAACCTGCAATATTCGCCAATACTTTCAGGCATATTTACATTCATTAGCAAAATTTAGTACCAAAAACATGAAATTCCAATGTTTTAAATGCGAAACCGATGCTGCTTACAATACATACCAGTATTAAATCACTGAAAAATATAATAAAATACTTGATATTTAATACCAATTGGTACTGACCTATATGATCTGTATTGATGCTTGGTGAGACTTAGTAAATACTGGTTGGTACTATGTACCAGTCCAATCTTCACATGTTTAAAGCTTCTATTTGACTAAAACAAAGAACTACATGTATCAAATAAGAACTACATGTATCAAACAAACCAAATTCACTTGGTTAGATATGCATGTACTCTTCTCCTCATATAGATATAACCCGATGGGTTACGAGTTCCATATGGTCATAGTGGAAATAAATAGGACGGGGTGCTGTTAAGGTCACAAAATGGCTTGCAGCATGGTAATTACAAGAAGCAAATACTCATGTATCAAGTTTTGCAAGCCTTCATATCTGTCCTCGTACAGGCATAACAAAACAACATACCAATTTAATCAGCTCCCAAAACCAATAAGATACACTTAGACAGAGGCTGAGTTCTAAGAACCTAATTATCAACTGCATAACTACTTTTTCACCTTTTCATTTATGACAACAAAGAAATACACTTTTTGCCACAAATGGAATGATTTTGGATTTGACACTGTGACCAGAACTATATGTAAAAGCAGCTCTCCAGTATATATGAGTGATCCTAAGCCAAAGTGCTTAATGATGTATTTATGTGCCAGTTCTTAGAGAACACTAAAGGAATTAAGAGGTTTTTGCTAACAGATGGAAGATGTTATTCCAAAACTTCGTTTGGCATTCTGAACTATAGATATCAAAAGTTCACGAAAAAATACAAAGACTTGCACATCAATATTAAAGTCCAACTTTGATTTGGAGACGCACACAGAATAGAGGTACCAAGATTTGATCAAAATCAAATTCACCATGACAACCAGGTAAATATTGTCAAACACCGATCCATAACAATACAATGCATATATCTACATAAATACATCTAATCATGGAAAGATTAATGACCCACATAAGTGATAGAGCTGATTTGAATATAGAATATTGTGTAAAACCATATCCGTTTGGTTAGAAGGTTAAAACTTGTAGCTATAAATCATGAAATATTTTATCAAGAAACTAATGAGTGATGAATATCTACATGGGCTCAATAGAAATGATTTCATGCATCTTGTTCATCATCAAAATATTGCATTCAAGAAAACTAAGTCTGCAAGAAATATCTACAAAGAGTTTCGAAGCATCCAAAGAGTACTCAGCAATTAATAATTACTTAAAAGTTTGATATCATATGAGAAGAATCAGATAAATACTAATACTAGTCACATCCTCAATAGGGCTACAGCAAGCATTCTGGAGTATCTAATACTTTATAGAGTAACCAAATTTAAATTTTCAAACACAGCTAAATTCATGTGAAGCCAACAATAAATTGAACGAGAACCAACAAACTGTCATCATGTGACAACGACCAAGAGGTAATGGTCATAAAAGGATGATTTTAGGTGCATCAGAACAAGAAACACCAATAAGAAAGAGATTGTCAGTTTGCAGTGACTGCAATTAATTATAAAATAGAAAAACAAGATTTTATTCACAAACAAAGTCATTGGCATAATATTACAATAACTGGGATTGTGTTCCACTGGCTCTTTAGCTTAATCATGTCTTCAAAGCGAATCATATAACAAAGCCTGTGCCTTTCTTCAAGACTATACGCAGCCTAGGAGATTTCAAAGAATGATTACTTGGCTATATGTGCATAAACTGCAACCAAGAAGAATTTTCTTTTCTTTTTGCCAATTAGCCTTTTGGGATATAAGGCATGTGCCTTCATACCTAAATTTGTTGGTCATAAATTTTCCTCAACTCTTTTCTGGAGTCAACTTCAGATTATATTCTACAAGCCAATCCTTTCAGGCTTTGATTTGTCATGACAATTAATTAGATACAAGCTTTAGATGATTATATCAAGTCGACAACCAGTAATAAAATTCAATTCCATGGAGCCTTTTCATACAAAGTTCTATCCTAAAGGCTATCCCAATTTGACAGGAAAAAGAATGGAGCATTAATGTCAATGAGTCAATATTAAAGAAGAAAAGCCTAATTTCTCCAAGTTTCAGGAATCAGACCTAGAGGCTTATAGTCACACTAGATCTTAGAATCCTAGAACTGCATTGGCATAGACTGTGTGAAGAAAAACATTTGTTTAAATCCAAGAATCTACATCCATAAAATGCAATGAATCAGTTCTTGTTTAAAAGTTCATAAGGTTGTTATCACGTCAAAATAAAAGAAACTTTTTTTCTGGTTCCTATGGCTTTCTTTCATCTCCCGAGACAAAAATGAATAGTTAGAGTCTATCTCTTGACCAGGTGCTTTAGTCTCGAATGATGCCCATCTTAGTCAAATAAAACAGAACTTAAAGAATATGCAATTTAAAACACCTAACTTGTCCAATAGATATCTTATATAAAATGCTGATTTACTGGGTGTTGCCTATTTTATAAAACTGCCAACCAGAAACCTTCAAGCCACAATCACGAGATATGAAGATTCCTTAGTGACCTTTAAGATTGCATGCCGTATATTGTATGCTAAATACCAATCTGAACAAGCCATTTCAATAACCCTTTCAATATAAAGCATTTCTGTCTTAATGATTAATTTTCTTAGGTCCAAAATGGAAAAGAACTACAGTACTTGTCTCATTGAGATTCCAAATATGCAGAGTTAGCTTATAATGTATCTCTAATCAAATAAACACCAAATGCAAAATAAAAAAGATCTTCCATGACAGCTGCAGCACTCCTGTAGTCATATATACCTTGTTCTATCACTAGGGTGTAATTCCTGGATATATAGAATCTAGGATTTAATTTACATTCCTGACAAACGGCTCCATTTCAACTAGAAATATCAGTGAATGGGAAGCTAAAGACTGCTGCAACTTCCATTTTCCCATCTTTTATTCGTCAGGGTAATGCTGTATTTCCATTTCTTGCTCACTATCAAATTCCACACGTGTGTCAACTAAAGTCAGATTGTTCTATATTTAGAACCAATACTTCGGTCATTCATCCTTGAATTTGCTAACAATAGATAATAAATGGACAAATAATTGATGTATTTGGTTGCATTTGCATTGGTTAAAGCTTTAGGAACCTCATCTGCGATGTAGGATTTTTAATTCCCAGTGCAGAAAACTTCAACGTCCTCATGATTTTCATAGTTGCTCTCTTACCCAGCTATGGAAATCTCTGATGATTCTTGGTGCAAAATCTGTCCAAATTTGAATTTTAAAGAACATGAATACCTGATTCTAGAAATGTTCCATGACTGTTTAAACAAGGAAGATTTTAGGACCTAACAAGATTCCAAAACCTTCAGTCAAATCAACAATGTGGAGTTTAAGATGATCATATAAAATTATTTTGTACCCCATTAACATGGTCATGCATCTTTAAAGGCCTCTTTTTGCTGAAATTCAAGTCACAATACCTAATCAATCAATAATCTGAAAGACAAGTTTAATACAGTGTCGTACACAATCACAGCGAACAACGTTTAGTATGTTCACAATAACACCTCTGACTAATCTCACCATCAACAAGTCTCATCTAATTTAGTCAAATTAAGGATAAAACACACTGAATAAATAACAAAGATTGGCAAATTGCAATACTAGGATATTTGTTGACTTCCAACGTAGACTAGTTATCATAAAAAAGCATGAATATGACAGAACTTATTTGTTGATAAAAAATAACATCAAAATGTTAGTTCTAGGCATTTGTTTCTTTCCAATCTTTTTGGTGGTATTACACCATATGGATGATAGAACAATGTAACTGATCATATTATGAGTATATTTCAAAGAAAAGAAACTCAAGATCGGTTATATAATTACAGATATTATGCTTCGATGGTTTGCACCATGTATCCAACTACAAGTTACTGTATTCAGAATATGCAACTACTCAAAAAGAAAATATCACGGTTACAAAAACCATAGAACAGACTAGAAGTAGCTTAACAAGAAAAAAAATGTGTGTATGAATTCAAAATTCTTTTAGTTCTACAAAGGAAGACATCTCGTTGGAGTTGCTCGAGCAGGAATATCTCCACTGTAGATTATTCCCACAATTTGAAGTTAAAAAAGTAGCTTGGGTTAAAAGAACTCGGTGATCCATCAATGAATCCAATGTCGAACAGTATGACACGGAGAAACTAAAAGCCGCAAAAAGAAACAGGAACGGACAAAGGAATTCAAGAATCCTTCCCTTTCTTTTCCTCTTGCGGGTCAGGATCATCAGAAGACGCGGCAGCATCAGCAGCGGCGTCGACCAAAGCTTGCTCGGCCCGGAGAATGGGCTCGTAATAGTCGGCATGGGCATCCATGCACTTCCTGAGGAGGCCCGTGACCTCGGAGCATCGGTCAACGATGTCCTCTTGGCTCTTCTCGGCATCGTCCACGCACTTCTCCCACGCAATGAAGGCGTCCTTGCAGCCGCCCCCCTTCATGAAGAGGCAGAAACCGCACTCCGCCTCCTCCTCCTCTGCTTCCGCTGCTCCATTCTCTTCCTCCTTCTTCGCCTCCCCTGTGTCATCCGCGACCTTCTGGTCCGGTGTTGGAGCGACGGTGACGACGGCGGCGGCGACGGGCAGGGATTCTTGATCGGACTGGGGAGGAGAGGGAGGAGAAGTCGGTGCGGGGACCGTCGGATCTGTGGTTGTTGGCTGAGGAGGCGAAGCGGACATGGTTGGTCAAAGGGATCAAGGATTAGGGTTTCGGCGGTTGTTCTTCGACTCCTTCGAAGGCAACGATGAAAGTTCAGCAAATCATAAGAGTGGGGAAGACTTGACTGGTTAAAGCAAATTCTTCGGAAGGTGTCGAAGCAAACGAGACACATCGACGGTTCTCCAAACCCGCCCATCACGTTTTCATTTTACATCTCAGCCGTTTATCTATTTTGATCGGATCTATTTCTAAAATTTTATTTTATTTGTTCAAAATAGATTGACGGTTGAGATAAAAAGTGGTTTCTAAAGAATTATGTATTTAATAAAGAATTATGTAGTTAATAAAAAGTGGACCTCTTTAACATTTCTATTCATAGACTTAAAAAATTTATATTGAAATACCTACTGTTATAAAAATAAAATATTTAGCTTCATTATCATAATGTTATTTGTTTTATCGACGGAACTATGAAAATAAGTAAAAAAATAATTTCAACGATTCAGGGTGATGAACGACGTCGGTGGTGGCGAACGACAGTATCGCTGTGGACTATAGGTAGCTGTTGTAGATGAGGAAAAGAATGGTAAGAGCTAAGGGTCACTCTGGATTTACATCGACGTCGACATAAGTGGTGACATGACCACTCAACATCGACACCGACATAGATATAGAGCAACGCCGCTCGATAATTATATCAATGTCGATGTAGATACAAAGCAATAAAAAAGCTGCTCAACATCTGCATAATCTCCTCTAAAACCGACATGGGGAGGTCAAGAAAGCAAGCATTACAATCGAGCACCCTTCATGCCCTTCCTCCTCCTCGAGTGGTGCTTCCACTCGCTACTCCTCCGTTGCCTTCCATCCTCTTATGTTGCAATCATGAAATGGAACTCAATGTATACATTATTCATCGACGCATCAAACGAGTTTATCGTATGGAATTGCTTGGCTCAGACTCAATTATTTTGGCATCGCCTTACCCTCTTTGGTGCCGCTGCTATGTTTGCGTGGTGTGGCATAGTGGTATCTTGCACTCTCTGAATCCACTACCGACTGCAAGTTGAGGTCACATCGATCCGCATATCACACTTGTTCTATTTAAATTAAATCGTACATCAAAGTAGATTAGGATCGTCTCAAAAGTTATATGATCGAATTCGAATTCGAATTCGATTGACTATATAAATATGTGACTCTGTGCACGATTGAGTTTACCTAACATGACTTGCATAGAAGACAAATGTCCCGACCTACCGTGACGAGCTCTTCTTCATCTGCTCGCTTGTTTGCTCGCAATTGGAGAACCCACGTCGAGGTGCACTTTGCACACTAATTAAGGAGGTGATGCATCCTTTTTATCGATGTTCGTTAGTGAGATTTCCGGCCATTGTTGCCATCTGGTAGCACATTTTCGCCAGCAATGATCTAACACAACCTAATGGGATATGGTTAACAATTATATGCCCTACGTATGTTGGATTTGTTTCGTGGAATCCAATCATCATTTTATGCATTAGTACTTATATGGTACATTTTGGCAATCTGAACGCTTCATAGCTGACACAGCATGCCAAGTCAGAACCCTGAGCCACATGTCTAGTCTCGGGAGCTTGGGGCGGTGCCGTCTGACGCACCATCACCATCGCCTCTGGTCAGGAAAAAAATGAAAAAGGGGGAAGAAGGAAAAGAGCAATCCCTCTCGTTACTAACTTACTCGTCGGAGGGGCCACGGTCGGGTACCACCCGACGGAGGCTATTTTGCAAAAGGGCTACCACTCATCGACGATGAGGGACTCGGCATGGGAGCATGATTCGCCCGGCACCAAGGAGTCGCCAATCAGTCCCGATCCCGATCAACGCCAACCGGCACTCCTTTTCGAGAGCTCGGGTACCACATTATTCGAATCACCCCGCAAAAAGCTCCCGACATCGACCCGTACACCTAGCCGTGCTGACTTCCCAGCAACATATTTGTTCACCAACAAGTACCTACTTAGGACTCCATGACGATGTCAAGCCCGCATCTTCTTGTTTCATTGGCATCAAAGAAATCATCGGTGCAAATAGTTTATAATCCATGAGTTGGGAAAGAACTTGACTTGGAATTGAGTGATTTAAATGATAGAAAGAGAACATTACATTATATCCTTCGCAAGATGTATTTGACAAAACTGGCATGGAAGGAAACGTTCTACGGTGCATGAAGATATGAACATAATACACAGTGGCTCAAATCGTCCAGAATTGTTTCTTCTCTTTCGGTATATAATACTCCGGAGCAGATGTTACAGAAGAAGAAGAAGAAAAGTCGATGCAGTGGAGAGCAAGAAACATCTCATTGTCGCTTACACGTCAAAGAGACCCGCAAATCCTCCTCGTCAGCCTTGACGAGTAGGCTGTCCTGCTCCAAGAGTCAATAATGCAGGTCCGAGTCTTCCAACTGGGATCTTCTTGGGTTCCGTTCCCATCTCTTCTCCCCACCATGTCGATGGTGTGCTATTAAAACTATAAATAACCAACTGCCTCCTTCTTTGCCCAGAATTCACCGTGGAAGATACGTCACCGGAGATGGGGAATCATAGAGGTGCCGCAGTAGAGTTGGAACTGAAACTGAGATCAGAAGAGGATGAGAGCAGGAGAAGTAGCGTGATAGCAAGGGAAGGTCGACTGGGACAATTCATTCCACCCTTCAACTTCGCCACCGTCGACCGCGGCGTCTTCCGGTCCGGCTTTCCCGACGCTGCCAACTTCAGCTTCTTGGATACACTACAACTGCGCTCGGTCGTGTGAGACTAGAATTATTATTCTCCATCGTCACCATTTCCTTCTTTCCCGTCGTCGATGTTGCGGTGCCGCTGATTGCAGCCGCCTCTTCTCTTTCTTATCTTGCTTTCGATTCAGATACCTGTGTCCGGAGCCGTATCCGGAGGCAAACAAGGTGTTTCTCGAGTCCAATCGGATAAGGCTCTTCCACTTCGGCATGGAGTGTTCGAAGGTACGTGCTCCGATCTTGGCTGCATAATGATTTGCTTTTGCTTTCCGAACTTCCATTTTACGAATTATTTGGATGTTTAAGATAATAATTCTTTGGAGAAAAAGAAGAATTAGCTACGATTTAATGTAAATAAGCAAATGACGACGCTCCAAAACCATCGATTAATTCGTCGCTTCTGATATGATCAACACCTCAAGTCAAAATTTTGAGGGTTGCAGTGGGCGTTGAGCACCGATCACAGTTTGAGAAGAGCTGGTCTCGGAGGATAAGTATTGATTTCCTTGTCCCAAGATGTGGTTCATCAATAGACACAAGGAATAAAGAGCTTTAATTGGGCAGCTATAGTTAGGGTTTCAAATCTCTAGTATTGTGGCATGGAAGAAAGTTGGAAGGAGGTTCCTGTTTCACTGAAAATGATATGTAAGGAGTGAAGACACAAACATTGTTCTTAGTGTAGCTTTCTTTTGGTAGAAGGACAGAGACAGCCTGGAGACCATATCTCTACAATAAATTTTGCCAAAACTAAAGACTTTCTTGTCTTGGATTGGACTGAAAAGATGGAACATCTGATGGCTGTGGAGGAATCCTATAATGAAAGGTTGGAACTTGTAGGTATTAAACAAGACAGAGGAAAGAAACTCAAATATCTTAAAGAATGTATTCGAAGCAAAGTAGTTTGTGAAAATATTATGCTTATTAATTATATGATCATATGAAGATACCAATGCTAACTAAATATTTAACATGATGATGAATAAATAGTTTTCTCTTGTTTAAATCATTTGTATGTCCAAAATAACAATGAAAAAAGAATCCTTGCAGGAGCCTTTTGACAACATTCCGGAGGACAAAATTCGAGAGGCTCTCAGAGTCGTGCTTGGTACTAAACATGCTTGTAATTTTTTCTGCAAGATAGATAAAAATCCAGTGTTACATTCATGATTTCTTGATTGTTCCCTTCAGATGCCCGAAATCGCCCATTGCTTATCCATTGCAACAGAGGAAAAGTAAGATTCTTAGTCTTCTTGTATGTTTCGGTTGCTGTTCGAGTTTCAGAACAGGTTTGTTGTGCAGCATCGAACAGGTTGTGTGGTTGGATGCTTGAGAAAGCTGCAAAGATGGTGCTTGTCTTCTGTGTTCGATGAGTACCAGCAATTTGCTGCTGCTAAAGCGAGGGTTTCGGATCAGAGGTTGATCGAGCTATTCGACACTTCCAGCTTTAAGCATTTATTATCACATTGCATTTGTATTTGACATGGTCGAGTTGGGCTCTCGTAGAATCACTGCAGCATGATTTTGGAGAGAGCATCCACATTAATGTAATGTAGTAGTAACATAGATTTCTGCTTATGGTAATTGTAATGGAGTGTTAACAATTAATTTCCTGGAGGAGATTGCAAGAGGTGCAGTTTTCATATATTTCTTGCAAATTCTCTTCCTCCAAATCCTATCTATCTTGCATGCATCAGAATTTTCAGCTTGTGTTTGTGAACATTATATCTTATTTTGAGGAAATATTTTTCTCTGATATTTGTGGCCCATTTTACCTGTTATCACTTTTTTATGACATCATTGGCCTGTTAGGAAATCCTAAGATGTTAGATTATCACATATACTAAATGAGGAGGAGCTAATGTTGCTGAAGTCAATTGTGATTAGCCATGGCGCAAAAAGGGACAGAAAGTTAAGCCCAGCTTCAACTACAGATTAGTTTTCCGGTTGGTGTCAGAAGAAGCCGAAGCAACAGCCACACTGCCTTAAATGAGGCGACGGCGACGTCTAACGATGACCACATCCTCCTTTCCTTGGTGCAGCAGATTAGGATGAGCTTTCAGAGCTAGCTTTGGTTTCGCATTTAATCTTAGAGAAGGAGAGGGAAACAGATGTCTTTATGCTTTACCGACAAGTCCATGGACCGCCTCTTTATGACTACAATTTACGTGATTTATGGTGGGAGTGCAATCGTGGAGTTATGATCGCATGTGGGTTGTGCCTGTTCATGCCAGTAATCTATTGCGCCTACATCTGCAAGGAGTGAGTGTTCCATCTCCAACCACACACGCTTGTTTTGGGCGTGAAGAATTGGTGGTCAAAGGTGGTACATGCCTCCACCGTAATGGAAGGCAGCAGGCGTTTGTGAGGATAAAGCCGTCTCTCATGGTGCTGAGAACATGGTGGGTGAGAGACATGTGGAACTCTTGCATTACTCTGTAGATGTAGAAGATGAGACATCCAGTTCGAATCTCGTGCAATGAATTCTGTGTTAAGATTTGCAAGCAGAGTTGCAGGATATATAGCAAATCATGAGAGGAAATAAACACAACTAAATTAAAGGAAGGAGAGAGCGAGAGAATGAACAATCTCTCAGCGTTTTCTTATTATTTTATCTAATCTCGGTGTGGTTCCGAGAGTATCGAGACAGGTTCGATCTCAGAGGGAGGATACGTGATTGCCTAGTGGTTCATGGCGTGGAAGATGTACGTAAAAGACGCGAGGGAAGTGCCTTAATCTGGGTTGTAGGACACCGGGGAGGAACTGGAGGAGGGAGAGTTGACCCAGTTAAGAATGCTGTTCCAGTAGTTCCGGTTCTCCTCCCCCTCCTCTTCTTCCTCGTCGGCGCAGGTCTCGTGCCCATTCGTATGGGAATCTCGGGAGTGGTCCCGAGTTTTCTGCTCCCCGAACTCACCCAACAGCATTCCGGTGAATCCTGCTCCGAATTGCCCCCATGAACACCCTGCCTGCGAAGCGTACGGTTCCGATAGCCATGGCGCCTCCCCATCGAAGGCCTCGACAGAGAAGCCTGTGAGGCAGTCCGTTGTATCATTTCCCGAGAATCTCCACTCCGCGCCTTCTGGCTCCGAGTTCTCGCTTCCTTGCTGGCTCGCCGGTGCGACGGCCACATCGCCGTCCACGAGCCCGGTGCCGGACTCCGTCGTTGGAGGACGGTTCTCCGGGAAGCTCAACGTGGAGGTGGGTGACTCCAGGTCGACGTTTTCGCCTGGAGTGTTCTTCCGTTCTCTGAGCACGTCGAGGCAGGGAGATGAAATGGGTTCGCCCAACGACGAGGATCTCATCTGCTGCTGCTGCTGCTGTAGGTTCATGGAACCGGAAGCTGCACGCAGCTTTGACTCCCTCGCCAGGCGGGCCTCGGCTTCGAGGCGTGCGCTCTCCCACTGAGCCATGTGGCTGAGGTTGGCAGCGCTCCTGGGTCGGCCGTCGGCGGAGCTGAGGGTGTTGCTGGTGGCCTTGAGGGTGCAAGGATCGATGCCCACCTTGGCCAGCCGCTTCTTCAGGTGGGTGTTCCAGTAGTTCTTGATCTCGTTGTCGGTTCTCTTGGGCAGATGGCTGGCGATCGCGGACCATCTGAAAGAAAGGGAACGAGACTCTCATCTACCAGCATTAGCAGAGGAAAGAACGCTTCCAGGCGGTAGTACGATGTGAATGACCGCAGACGTAATCAAGATTCATGGAGTAGCAGCAGCCGTCACCTGTTCCCAAGAAGAGCATGGAGTTGGATGATGGTCTTCTCCTCCTGCGGGCTAAACTCCCCCCTTTTGATGTCCGGTCGAAGGTAGTTGGTCCATCTCAACCGGCAGCTCTTCCCACACCTCTGCAGTCCTGCAATTACAGGAAGCATCACAACTCTCTCCAACCACGCTCTTACGCAGTCGCGGCGACGATAGTTCAGGCGGCTCACCGGCTTTGGCGGGCAACGCTCTCCAGCTCCCATGGCCGTGCTTCTCAACATAAGCGAGCAGCTTCTGGTCTTCCTCCACAGTCCAAGGTCCCTTCTTCAGGTTCACCTTGTCACAGCATGGTGATCGACCCATCTCAGTCGGATCCCGACCTGCAGATCGAGCAAGATATGCTTAAGCTCTAAGGGGGGGCTTCAAAGAGCCGATCTCCACTGCAAGTGACATGCACAAGGAGTAAGAGGTTACAGCGAAGCCAAGGTCTCGAGGATTAATAGATGACAACAACAGATGGGTCTTCATGCAGAAATAAATGTTGTTTGGAGGTGTGTCACGGCGTAAACGACCTTCGATCCAACCTCGAGTGCAGTATGCCGTGTTTCCAAAGATTCATCGGGATGTACAGTGGGTGAACGAACGATGGTTGCTCGCTGCAGTTATCGTACTTGTCGCAATCTCAATCCGAAAAATACATGGACGGGACTCAAAAAGAAGCATCGCTCGTAGTTCTAAGCATTCTCTGCAGTCATTTTAAGCCCTCTTTGCTAAGGTGACATCCGCTCATCTAATCCTTCGATGTGGACAACGAAGCTTGTCGCTTCTCAGTTTGCACCGATGCTTGTTGACTCTGCACGCCGAGTTGGACGGAATTGTCTGCCCCCACACACCATTATGATCGGCAGAAGAACACGTGTGCTTCGGCCGAAAGCAAAAAAGAAGGAAATTTAAGATTGATTGATTGAAGAGGAAAAGCATCGATCATAGCTTGGAAGGTTCTCTCTCTACCATATACATTGTCATAAGACAAGATCGTATCGGTTAATTGGAGTGCAGAAATTAAAAGTCAAACACCCCCTAATAACATAATGAAGAGAGCACCCCCGAATAATCAATAAGTACATGCAAAAGGATCAATCGCAAAAGAAGAAATAAAGATTAGTTCATAGAGTTAGCAACTGATTGTTGAATCTATAATTATTTTTATTTTTAAAAAAATATAATGATCTATCAATCATAATAGAAGAAGAATCTTTTATCTGTATTCCCATCTTATTGGAAAAGAGAGTACGTATAAGAATTTCCACCAAGTTTTTGAGGATTGCAATAGAACCACTTCAGGTTTTTCCCCTTTTTTTTCTTTTTCTTTTTCTAATTTTAATTAAAAATATTTAAAATATAAAAAAAAAATTCATAATTTTATTTCAAAATTTTGATCTGAATTCGGCTTTGAAAAGTTATGTATTTCTATACACGTAGTACCATAAAAATAAATATATAAAATAAAATCTTCAATCCAGGACTAATTATTGATTATTTAATGTAGTTAGATTTATCTTTAACATTTCAGTTTCTACACTTTATAGTCTTATAATTATAAAAGTGAAATATCTAGGTCTATTTATTATAACGTTGTTTATTTTATCAATGAAAATATAAAAACAAAATGTAAAAAGATAATTTTAATATTTCAATTGTGGTGGCAAACGATGACACCGTTGTAGGTAGCGAGTGGTTGTTGTAGATGAGGAGAGTGATGAGAGAGGTGAGGGTCACTATGCATCTGCGTCGATGCTGACGTAATTACCAAGCGACAAAAGGGTTGTCGACGTAATTGTCGAGCGGTGCCGCTGTGCATTTGCGTCGATATTGATACAATTATCGATCAACACTGCTCTGCATGTACATCAACATCGATATAGTTGTCGAGCGATGAATAGGCTACCGATGTAGATATCGAGCGATGCTGCTCGATAATTACGTCGAAGTCAACATAAATGCAGAGTGACCCTTACCTCTCGCTATTGTTCTCTTCATCTACAACGACCACCCACGACCCCAACGACACTGTTGTCCACCACCATTGATGCCATCCGTCATCATCAATTAAAATATTAAAATTATTTTTTTACCTTTTTATTTTCATATTTTTGTTAATAAAATCGACGACATTAAGATAAATGAACATTGATATTTTATTTTCATAAATATAAAGATATCGGTATATTTTTTTAAAATATAAAAACCTAAATACTAAATGTAATTACTAGCTACTAGCTACATCAAGTACTCTATAATTAACCCTCATATGCATAATACACATAATAATATTTTTTTATATAATTTGATCGGTTGAAAACAAAATCACCATTCTAATTTTTATGCAATCGAAACCTGGGCTGAACCACCCAGGCTCGATTTCTGGTTTTATTCCAAACCATCGTCATGCCAACTCATGTCACAAACAGAAGCTTATGAACATTAATTTCTGCCTATCGTCACCACAGTAACTATGAGCTTATCAACATTAATTTCTGCAAAACAGTGAAGAAAAAACATTTTAAATAGTCACAATATCTTTTGGTCCACAAACGGAATTAAATGATGCAACATTAGAACCTTATTTCACCCTTTTATGCTTAAGCCATTGTACAACATTACTAGACAGTGTAGAGACATATTGCGGATGAGCATATCGGCATTTGATGACATCCGACCCCAACCACAAGCAACTGAAAGGAACCTGCAACTCAAGAAGCCTTCTTCTGCTTGCTGGCTTGCCATGCCTTGCGATCCGTGTCGATCTTCGAGCGGACGCTGGCATGGAAGCCAGGATATGGCTCGTATCCCAACAAACTAAGTGCCTGAATTAGAAAATGTTAGTCACTATATATATTAAATCATTCTTAGTGTAAAGATTTGGAAATTGT